TAATATCAAATGACTACTTTGGTCATCTGCTACTTAACACTAATCCTACCTGTTTGATTCAAAGGATGTTTTGACTTTCTCAAACATCAACATCAGTTTGCACTTACTTCTGAAATTCATTGACTTCATTGTACAAAGCTCTCCTCTTTGATATTTATTATAACTGACCAATTTTTTTCATTTGTCCTAATCATTAGTCAAGAGAGTGGGGCTCAGGGAGGTGTCTATGTACTTCCTAAAATATTTAGCCCTATGGTTCTGGTTTAGCAGGAATACTTACCAGTGGGGACAATCTGTAATATTAAATGTCAGGCAGTTTATCACTATGGATGGTTTTTTAAAAAGGATACTGAAAACATTGTCTTTAGTAGTCTTTGGTTCATGATCTGAGAACAGTGCTCTTATGGCAGTAAAATAAATTCTATGTATGATTAGGGTAAAAATTTATATGCTCTCATGTGCTGATATGAAGCTTATCCTCACTCACTGCCTACCCCACATCCCATCTGTGCCAGGTAGGCCGTAATCGTGGAGAGGAGTAGAGCCCTGATACACTATCCAGCTGCCACCACCACCTCTTTCTCTGCATTTAAAAAACAAATTACAGAAAATACTATAACAAACTCCGTATAGTCAACACTGAAATAATTAATGTTAACTTTTATTTCAGATTATTTTAATTAAAATAGGGCTTTAGGGGGCCGGCCCAGTGGTGTAGCAGTTAAGAGTGCACGCTCCGCTGTGGCGGCCTGGGGTTCGCAGGTTCAGATCCCAGGCACCCACCGATGCACCGCTTGTCAAGCCATGCTGTGGCGGCGTCCCATATGAAGTAGAGGAAGATGGGCATGGATGTTAGCCCAGGGCCAATCTTCCTCAGCAAAAAAAGAGGAAGATTGGCATCGAATGTTAGCTCAGGACTGGTCTTTCTCACCAAAAAAATAAAAAATAAAAAAATAAAATAGGGTTTTAATGATAAAGCCCTTGTATGATTTCCTCAAGTCCAAAGGGAAAAAAATCTTGTTGATTTCTTTTGACTCTTTTCTTATTGAATAGAGAGCATTCCAGTATCTGATTTATTATTTCCGAGTTTATTGCTTTTTAGATTATATTTCATATAGCATGTAGGTTTCTATAACTTTTCATTACTTTGATAAAAGTAGTAATAATATCATTTTAAAATATTACCACATGCTTTGTCAACTCAGACTTTCAAATATATTATAATAATGATATTAATATATAATGTAAATATATAATAATAGAATAGAATAGAATTCCTTTACCCTAAATCTCTTTCATTAGTCTATTGTATAATGCTAGGAAATAACTCTCTCTGATTCATAACACAGTTGGCAAATTTTACTATTTTATGCTTCAAAATAAAAGTCAGATATAGAGAGTGAACTTTTAGAGGTTTGTTTTATAATTTCTGGTTTGTAAATTATCAAATTTATCATCTCTTCTGTACTAAGTGGTGATCCAAATGAGTCTACATTTTGAATGTTTTTGTTCTTTGACTAAAAATCATAATCTTTAAGATAGGTAAAGGCAGATGGCAGTGAATTCTGTGCTTTTCTTATCTTAATTCTGATCCTGGAGAAATGTTACCTTCTTGACTTATTACTTGTCATCATCAAATATTCTCTCTTAAATTAATATCTTGTGGATTATAATTCATGTTTGTGATTTATTTACCTCTTTTTATTGTGATACTCATGCATGTTAGAGTTTACCAAGTTATACCGTTAGTTTAAACTCCTTAGCAAGAGGATAGTAGTCACAACAGCCTTTTATAAAGTATTCTTTTCAGAAGATTTACATAAAACAGTAAAGGAAAGGAGAAGTTAAGCCTTCTGCTTAAAAATCATCTTTCTCTAACAGCCTAGTGCTCAAGTTTATTATCTCTTTAAAGTTGCCAAAACAAGCATCTCATCTTCCTATTATTAATGAAAGTTACTCCCAAGGTCTCAATAAGGCAAGTAATTGAAATGTGTCAAGAATTATTTTTGATAGTTCTAGTGAACAACTAATGAAATGTTCTTAATTTGTGTGTTTCTAAATCAGACTATTTATTTCATTAGTTGATTAGTGTTTGATAACCTTATTATAATCAACTTTAAATTAGTATTAATGAATATTTACTAGCAGATGGAATACAACTAAATCCAGAAATTTAAAAAAGTTAAAGCATTAAAGAAATATCAACTATGTAAGCATTCAATTTTATATGATGATTATCTGGGCTAATTTACCCAAAATTGTGTGCTAGCCAAACTAAAATTAAATCATTACAATAATTCCAAAGCTTACAATAATCAACTATCTTATTAAAAATGAGTAATTTAGGGCCAGCTCCAGTGGCCTAGTGCTTAAGTTCGGTGTGCTCCACTTCCGCGGCCCGGGTTCAGACCCTGGATGCAGAACTACATCACTTGTCTGTTAGTGGCCATGCTGTGGCAGCGGCTCACATAAAAAAGAAAAAAAGAGGAAGATTGGCAATGGATGTTAGCTCAGGGTGAATTTTCCTCAGGAAAAATAAATGAGTAATTTAAAATTACTTTGTTATATTTTTCACTAATTATACCATGAGAATTTCTCATGTAATTTTTTAAAAAGTCCCTGAAAGCCAAATTTTAATTGCTATATTATATTCTTTGCTATAGTTTATTGGATAGTTCCCCTTTTGTTGGATAACACGGTGGTTAGCACATTGTAATTACTGGATTTTTTCATTTTTATTTACTAGTTCAAAGAGTATGAATTTTTAAGAGTATGTAATATGCATTAAAATTGATATATATAGTGTAATATGTGTCTGTATTTATAAGTATGTGTGTGTGTTTATATATATATATTTGTTATATATTAGCAATATATTTATGTACTTATCTCCCTAAATCCTTGCCAAATATTCAACATTATCAATTTTCTAATTTAATAGGCAACAGTAGTTTTTGTTATTCTTTTGGCTGAATTTCTTTTACTTCCAGTAAAATTGTTTCCCATAAATCTATTGACTATTGATATTTATTCTGCAAATTGTCCTTATTCTTTCCTTCAATTATCTATTAGGGTTATGTTTTTTTCAAATTTGTAGAGCTCTTCGTGTACTTAAGATATTTTTCTTTACCTACCATTTCCTGCAGATATTTTGCCAATGTGACACTTATGCAGACATTTGAAGATTTTATATAGCTGGATCAATTGATCCTCTGTTGTTGTTATTATTTTTTTGTGTGTGTGAGGAAGATCAGCCCTGAGCTAACATTTGCCAATCCTCTTTTTTGTTGAGGAAGATTGGCCCTGGGCTAACATCCATGCCCATCTTCCTCTGCTTTATATGGGATGCTGCCACAGCATGGCTTGACAAGCGGTGTGTCGATGCACGCCCGGGATCCGAACCGGCGAACCCCGGGCTGCTGCAGCGGAGCATGCGCACTTAACTGCTTGCGCCACCAGGCTGGCCCCATGTTGTTATTTTTTAAGTTGGAAAAATTTTTTTACATTCCAAGGTAATTGAAATATTTGCCTGAATTTTATTCTATTTTATACTTACAGTTTCATCTTTTCTTAAATTTAAGTCTTCTTATTTATCTAGAATTTATGTTTGTGTATATTATAAGGTTTAGCTCTAATTTTTTTCCAAAGGATCTATTTTTTTTTACTTGTTGAATAATACATCAAATACTTATTGATTTTTATATGTTCTTTTCCATATTTTGTTCCTACATGTACTTGAGTTTATTTCAAAACTGTCCACTACATCTCATTCACTTATATTTTGAGTCTTAAATTATTATCCCATAATTTGGGTTAAATTTTATAGTATATTTTAATAACCACTAGGGTATGTTCATTTCTTCTAATATTTTCTGATTATTATAAATGTATTCTCTCATATAAAATTTAGGTTCTTGTCTTTTCAATTTATTAAAAAAAGAATACTAATAGCTTTTGATTGAAATTGAGTTAAACCTGTAAATTTGTTTGGGTAGAACTGAGCACTTAGTAATTTTATAGAATTCAGTCTTCTTAACCAGGAGCATTGTATGTCCATCAGTAAAGCTTTACCATTTTCTGTATATGGTTATCAAACATTTCTTGATAATGTTGTTCAAAAGTATATTATTTTTTGGTGCTATGGTGAACAATTTTTTTTTTTTTATTATATCTACTAAGGAGTCATTTCTGTTGTATAGAAAATCTAAAATGTATATTAATATGTCGTATAGTCTGTCTTGTTAGTATGCTAACTTATTAGTGGTAAGGAGTTCTTCCATTGGTACACGTGGGTAGTGCGTGTACTGGAAACATGAATGGAATTTTATTCCTCTCAGTTGATACCTTGTATTTTCTTAATACTCTTCTAGTTAAATGTTATTTTCAATAAATAACTATCATACTTTGTAAGCGAAGTAGCTCAGGGCTATTACAAATATGGGAAGAACTTGGCAGTGTTTTGTAGTCTTTATTTTTTATGAAAATCTACATTTTGTGACTTTGGGGGTGCAAATAATTTTACTCCTTAGAACTCTCATATTTTTGTGATAGTATCAAAACAGAATTAAAAATGGTTGAAATATTTTGGCCTTCTGGTTCCTATTATTCATGACAGTAGACTAAGCTACACTAATGAATTTCTTCAGCTTATTTTCTTAATAAGCTAGAAGCTTAATGGTATGCAAATAAATCTTGACATGGTTTAACACCTATCTAAGATGTTCCTGACAGAGAACTGTAAAGCTATACATGAGCAGACTCTATTTGTCACACAGTGATATTAAAATATTTTCAAAACAACTAAGCAGTTGAAATATTAGCTAGCAAACCAGAAGTTTATTACTTCAGGTATGTTAATTTATTCATGATGGCTATTTAATACATTACTGTTAAAACATAGATTTCAAAAACCTAATTATTCTTTAAAAGAAAGAGTAAAAATATTTGCCATGTATAATAACTATCTTTTAATTTACTATAATTATTATGTTATCTTATAGCTGATGGGGCATTCAGAATGGGATCACAAACGAGGGCCAAGAGGATCACAGGTAAGTTTCTTTTCCTTTCCTTTTTTGTATTTGTTTCTTAACGCTTTGAGCCATGAGTTTTCTAAAACTCAAGAAATAATAGGAAGTAGAGAGAGGAATAGGCAAAATAACCATGCCATTTGTTTTTATTTAAGTTTGCTGTAATTAAAGTCTGGTTTCAAATCCCAAAGGCGGATGCCAGTGTGTTCCTCCTTAGAGCTTTCTGATATCCCATATTGGTTGTGTTTATATGAAAGTAGATTTTATATTCATCTTGTCTCTGCAGAATACATTTTGATCAGCAACTCACTCTTCTTGATTTTATTCAGTTCCTTTGATAATTTTTCTGTATATTTTCTTCTTTTCTCTATCTTCCTGTTTTTGGTTAAATATTTTGAAATATAATCAGATTAAATCCTGAACTAATTGCAGATTTTGTCTCTAAATTAACTCTCTTCGTCTTAGGGAAATAGAAAGATGAAAGGACCTATTATTTTTGAAGAGAAACAAATTCTAAACCTTTCTATATTACCAGGCTGTTTTCATTGTCTTGCTTTATGTCTTAGGCAAGGAGAAAAGCTTCCATGACGCATTTATGCTTTTTAATGACCTAATTAGACAATGTGGATTTGTTTTTCTTCCATAATTGCTTTGCCTGACAGAATAAAGTCTAAGTTTTACACTAAGAAAATTCTCTCTCCTCCTAGGTTATTTTGTAAAAAAGTATAAAAATCATTTATCTCATAACGGTCTGTGTTTACCTGACTGTAAACATCCCAAATAAAAATTAAGTGGGTGGCACATTTTTACCTTTCTGCTCGCATTTTCTATTTCCCTCTAAAAAGTATGGTTAAGAGAAAGAGAGTTGAATGTGTGGTACTGTATATGAAAGTTCATTGTGAAATGTGAGATTCTGCCAAATGTTTTACGAAGCTGACATGGACCTGTGCTGTCATTAAGTTTGCATTAATGACTATTTAATTTAGGTCACTGGGAAAACAATACCAAGTCAGTCAGTTGTTTTTAGTTGAGATTTTAATAGCTGTGGTTTTATTTTTGCCCATTATCAATTTGATTAGTAAATAATATAAAACAGTCCAATTAAATTAGGATCATCCAAAAGAATTTATGTCTTGTTTTCCCTCACTGTCCCTTCGCCTTCTCCATTTTCTCTGGCAACTCTCTCTCTGTACACATCTGTAATATTTTACCTCAAGATTTGCTGCAAGGTTGGTAATGAAATGATGAAATTAACATATGATAAATTCTTTTTGATTCTAAACTAATACAAACTGAAGATGAACACAAGTAAGAAACTCCATGCTTCTGATTATTGCCACCAAAGACATTTTGATATTCAAAACATGCCAAGAAACTTGATAAGGATATGTCCCTTCAAAGTAATGTAGTGTTATATACTCCCCATGTGACCTATTTGGATATAGTTTATCTTTAGGGTTGGATTGGTCACTCTGTCATTATAAATTGAAAATAAATGTCATTAAAGTACAACATTGTGTTAAGTTGAAACATAAAAACCTCAGAATGAAAATTTTTTAAATTCCAAATAATGCATATATCTAGAAAACTTCAGAATTCCACATACACGCACAAAATATTTTCATAAATAAAGTCTGATTATATTTGAAAGCCTGAGATGGTTCTGAAAGGCAGTGGCATTAGAACATTCTTGCAGGAACTACCGTTATCAGCATCAACTTCTTTCTTGGACCTCTCATCTAGCTAAATAAGTATTCTAAATGTGGTATACCTTTTTCTCACTTTGATTCCTCACTTCAGATAAAAATTGTCAAGGTAAAAAGCAAAAGCACACACCAGAAAATAAAAACAATAACAACTACAACAAGCAAACGTTATTCTTTGGAAATTCTGGGTAAACAAATTATGTGTTAAGTAATAATTTAATAATCTAATCCTAATTCCCCACTGGAAAAAAGAAAGACACTGTATTTATGTTTTATATCATTGATCCCTTCTTATCTTGCTATTAGTTCTTCGAAAAATATATCTAAAGCCTTTTAGCCATTCAAAAGGAATTTCAGTCAGACTGTATTTGAACACAGATCTCTTAATATTTTACTAATACTCCAAGGCCTCACTCAAATTGCATCTCAATTTAGTTTAATTGAAGACAGGTTTTTAAGGACTTACTGTGTGTACAGCACTGTGATAGGTCTAACTGAGGAAAAACTGAATGACAATGTTACTGCATTCCAAGAGCTCACAAGTTATGGTTGGAAATAGAGCAATACTTGAATGTATAATTTGCATATAAGGCAAACTGATATATGTAAAATTAATTATATAAACAAAGTATGATAGGAGTTAAGGTGGGACAGAGTGTTTGTTTATTTCTAGTAGAACTAGGAAATACTTCTTGGAGTTGATGATATCTGAGGTGAGCCTTCAAGTTTGGGTAAGGTTTCAGAAGTGTGAAGAAAGTGAAAGGGAAAAGCTTGAATAAAAGTCTGAACTGACAGAGTGTGGGACATATTTGGATACATGTGAATTTTCTTTATTACTGCTTTATAAACACTTATTGGATAGGGACTGTTGCAGGAACTACTGTGAAGGAATGATCCAGAGAATGTCATACATGATTGATTAGATATGAGGAGGAAGTCAGGAGGGTCAAGAGTTTGAAATCCAGTACTTGAAGAATTCGTGCCATTAACACAGACCAGTTTACAGGGAAGATGATGAGTTCAGTGTTAGCGGTGTTAAGTGAGAAGTGAAGATGGCAATTCCAAAAGGGAATTTCAGACAAATGCTTGAGGTATCTTTCTGGTGCTCTGTAGCCAGATTAGAGCAGAAGATGTCAATTTGGGAATGCTAATCATACATGTGATAATTGAACTACATCAGGAGATAATTGAACTACACCAGAAGAAGCATATTAAAAGAGAAAAATAGAAGAAAGGCTGATTCTTGGGGAAGGCTCACTGTAAGGGCTGGGAGGAGCCTGGGGAGAGAATGAAAACATGCACATGGTCTCACTAGAGACCAGCTGAAGGAGAAGTGATACAGAATCAAAAGCGGTGTACTATCAAGTTACACCAGGAAGAGGACTGAGACCACAAACAGAGGTTCAAGAAAACAAAAAACGTGGAAAATGCCTTTGGATTTAGTGATTAGCATGACATTAGTGAACTTTGAGAATGCAGTTTTGATCAAGAAGTGGTGGAAAGCAGAATACAGAAATTAAGAAGAGAATAGTGGGGGCCAGCCCGTGGCTTAGTGGTTAAGTGCGCGCCCTCTGCTACTGGCGGCCTGGGTTCGGATCCCGGGCGCGCACCGACATACCGCTTGTCTGGCCATGCTGAGGCAGCATCCCACATACAGCAACTAGAAGGATGTGCAACTATGACATACAACTATTTACTGGGGCTTTGGGGAGAAAAAGAGGAGGATTGGCAATAGATGTTAGCTCAGAGCCAGTCTTCCTCAGCCAAAAAAAGAGGAAGATTAGCATGGATCTTAGCTCTGGGCTGATTTTCCTCACCAAAAAAAAAAAAAAAGGTTTCTTGGAAGAGTTTTGGTTTAAAAGAAAAGTAGGATTAAGAAAGAGCTGGCAGGGGCCGGCCCAGTGGTACAAGCAGTTAATTGCGCGCGCTCCGCTTTGGCGGCCTGGGGTTCGCAGATTCCGATCCTGGGTGCACACTGACGCACCGCTTGTCACGCCATGGTGTGGCGGCATCCCATATAAAGTAGAGGAAGGTGAGTACAGATGTTAGCTCAGGGCCAGTCTTCCTCCACAAGAAAGAGGAGGATTGGCATGGACGTTAGCTCAGGGCTGATCTTCCTCGCAAAAAAAAAAAAAAAGAGATGGCAGCAGAAGTGAGTGAAATTTCTTTTTATGCTAAGATGAGATGTGTATCAGTAATTATTAATGGCAAAGAAAAAGAATCAGTGTAGAGAAGAAAACACTGAAAATTCTCAATAGTGAACTGTTTCAGGACTGAGAAAATAGTGTGGTTGAGGGTAGGCAATGCACTTTCTTCCAAAGGGGCCTTTTCGTGACCTGTTTATGTGTTTTTCTCACACTCCATCAGTCCCCACGCCAAAACCCCACCATTCACCCTAGTTCGGAAAAACAGATCATGTTCTCAAATGAACTACTGGATAAATCCATCAAAAAGCACAAATGAAAAAGCTTTGGAAAGAAAGTAGAGACATCTATACCAGAACGAGAAAGAAGAAATAGGGACAAATAGTACAAAGTGAAAGAAATACTGTGAGCCTAATGACCCCAATGATCTTGGTAGAAAGGGTGCATAAACCTGGGGACATCATGGTGGAACATCTTGAACAGTAGAAAATATATGGAGTAACTGTTGCTCTGCGTAGCTGAACAGGGGACTTGCTCGATGTTGGAGCATCAAGAAATGCCTACTAGAAAGCAGGGCCTGTCACAGCTGTCAGCGGGTAGCCTGCCAGACAAATTTTAACCTATTTTACTCTACTTCAAAAAACACCAACATACGTCAGGCACTTTTTTAGCCTTTGAGGAGTCAAAAATGAACTGAACAACTTTGGCCTTCAAGAAGCATATAATTTTATTTAAAGTCAGCCTTGGCTCAGAGGATAAAAAATAATGAGCTAGTATTGAGAGCATTCATTATTACTAGGATAGAGTTAAGCTTCTCCTGGCTTTCACCCTATGTGCTTACTAAGTAAGAAATTTTCTCAAATTTGACGTAGTCCTCCACAATTATACCATATGTGCATTACCATAGATGATAAGAAGGTGTACCTTTCATATCAAATACTTATCATATAGAAAAATGCATATCTTGCTTCAAGTAAATTCCAACACTTAATTGCATATGACTCTTCAGTTTCAGCAAGAATTTAATTCAAATTGATTTATTTACTCTGTTCTCAGTAATTCTTTGGCATAATTTGTCAGCTCCCTCGCAGCTTTCCGGCTGATTTTTCTTCCTTTTTTTTTTTTTTTAAATATGTATTCTCAAATCGTAGATCATCCAAATTAGGGAAGA